TCCCATCCCAAACAACAACAAAATAAAACCTATAATAACCACTCCACATGAGAGTTGAAAGCATTTATATAATCAGCTTCAGTGGCTAATGCAACAGGGAGACAATTTCTTGGCGACTCAACTCAAGTGCCTTCACAGCAAACAGCTTTTAGGCTATCAGGCTACTATCATGTGCTCAGTAAAGTCAGGGAGAAGTTGTGTGTGGGAAGGGGCTGCAGGCTGAGGCAAGGAGTTGGAGTGCAGGAGGGGGTATGGGCTCTGGGCTGGGGGGTGCGGGCTCTGGGCTGGGGCCAGGGATGAGGAGTTCAGGGTGTGGGAGGGGGCTCTGGGCTGGGGGTGCAGGAGCGGTGAGGGCTCTGGGCGTGAGCTCTGGGGTGGGGCCGGGGATGAGGGGTTTGGGGGGGGGGGGTCCGGGCTGGGGCAGGGGGGTGGGGCGCAGGCTTACCTCAGGCAGCTCCCAGTCAATGGTACAGTGGGGCTAAGGAAGCTCCATGCCTGTCCTGGCACCACACAGGCCAATGGGACTGTGGAGCCAGTGCTCGGGGCAGGGGCAGCATGCAGAGCCCCATGGCTCCCCCACCTAGGAGCCGGACCTGCTGGCTGCTTCCGGGGTGCAGCACCGTGCCAGGACAGGTAGAGACTAGCCTGCCTTAGACCCGCAGCACCACCAACTGGACTTTTAACGGCCGGGTCGGTAGTGCCTTCTGGAGCCGCCAGGGTCCCTTTTCACCGGGCGCTCCGCTCGAAAACCGGACACCTGGCAACCCTAGACACATTACTGCACAGGACAAAGGCCAACCCAGGCCTTCTACCTGTGACACCTTTTATCTCTCTTTGAGGTAGGGTGACCAGCTAGCAAATGTGAAAAATCAGGACAGGGGGTGGGGGGTAATAGGAGCCCATATAAAAAAAACCACCAAATATTGGAACTGTCCCTATAAAATTGGGACATCTGGTCACCCTACTTTGAGGCTGGCAATGGGTTGCTGGGACACTATGGGTATGTCTACACTGCAACAGAAAACATGCAGCACTGAGACTCAGAGCCCGGATCAGCTGATTTAGGCTTGCAGGGCTGAACAGTGCAGTGTAGACATTCAGGTTTGGGCTGGAGCCTGAACTGTGAGCTCTACCCACCTCTTAGGGTTTCATAGCCTGAGCTCCAGTCCGAGCCCAAACATCTACATTGCAATTTTATAGCCCCACAGTCTCAGGCACTGAGAGCCAGAGTCAGCTGAGCCAGGCTAGCTATGGCCAGGCTGCAGGGTCTTTGATTGCAGTGTAGACATTCTCTGGGCTCTAAATGTAGGATAGGGAAGAGGTACCTCTGGGACACTCGCCACTTGACCATGTAGGGCAGGAAAGACATGGAGCTGCTGGGACGTTTCCCCATGACTATATGGTGATAGAACCTGCTGCTAGGAAAGTTGTCCAACTACATGGAAGGGAGAAGTGAGAAAAGGACCACCAGGACACTGATTTTCAGAGGTTGGGGAGAAGAAGCCACTAAGACACTCTCCCTGACTGTTCAAAATTAATCTTAATTGCATTTTGTGTGGCACAACCACATGGCTAGCCCATTTCTAACATGGATACTTTGGTAGATCCCACAGTCCAAATGCAACCTATGTAGAGAACATGGTGACTGACATCCAGCTTACATTTGGACCCACTTCTCTTCACACCAGAAATGTCCATTTTTTGACTTGACTGTTTTGTTTTTTTACAGGTGAGAAGTTTGGGCCCTGAGAGCTATTTACTAGATAGGACCATGGGGGTTTATTTCAGGGTGAGTGTTCTGATGCATTATCCTCCCAGTTTAATGGCAGCGTAGTATTTTCTCATGACCTTTTAAAATGTAATTGTTTGTTGCAGGCAGTGGGCTGATAGCTATACCACCGCAATTGAACAATAAAACTAGAGATATGGGCTGAGGGGGCTTGTCTGAAAAAGATTTGCTATAAAATGAGTACTTTGTATTTGTACTGAAATGGGTGGTCTCTGTCAATTGGAGCTGCATGGCACCTGTACAGATGCTGACACAGCTGTAAATTCTCAGTCAGGCAGATTCTTGGCCTCCTAATGTTCCACCCTCCATTCCACTATCTGGGAAATCAGGAGTCATGGATTTCACTCTGAACATGAGAAGATTTGGACTAATCCCAGTTCCTGGTAGTCTGGTGTTCCAGAGTTTGAGCCTCTCAGCTGAACAGGCCAGTCAGTTAGGCCCTGGGCTCTGTAATCAGTCATCCGTTGTTCAGTCATGGCTCCTGTGCCATGATATGGTGGAAGCTAGGCCCATTAAGAACCTAAAAGGGCCATACTGGTACGTTGAAATAGATCGATTAATGAACGGGAAGCCAGTGCAGACTGCAAAGCACTGGTGTTACATGTGATCTTTGGCCTGTCCCACTTAGGAGATATGCTGCCATGTGTTGGACAAGTTATAACTTCTCCACAGGCCTTTACCTTCAGCCCCAGATAGTGCTTTGCAGTAAAACCAACTTGGAGGTGCTGAATGCATGGATCACTTGGGCCTAGTCTTCTTCTGAGAGGAAAGGACAATGTCTTGTTACTAGTCAAAGATGAAAGAAGGTGATTTTGATGACTTGCTATTTGGGTATCCAAGAGCAACCATGAGTCTACCAGTGGCTGCACGCCATTATGACCATGTGCCCTAGAGTTTAGGCTAGTGTATTGCCCATCATTTCATGGGAAACATCAGCACACCCATTGAAATCCCCAGCGAGGATGAATCAAGAGGTAGAGAGAGCAGCGTCCAGGAGAGGAAGTCAGAAAACTGGGACAGTAAAATGTAAGGAGTATGTGGTGATAGTCTGCAGTGTGAAATGGCAGGGAATGGGGAAGTAAAGGGTGAGATGTTCAAAGAAGTGGGGAAAACATCAATTCAGCCCTGGCTCTGATTGCAGTATCACTTCCTACTTCTCAGAGATGTGACTGTTTGAGCAGGGAGACATCCTGGGGAGGTAACTTCTGCAAGTTGAAAGAGGTCCAAGGGCAAGTGTCAGAGATGGCAGTAAAAGCCAGTGGCATTGTTTACAAAGAAGTGCTGATATATCGAATAATGCTTAATCACGCTTTGGTTCATTATGAAATACACTCAAGAGACCAAATAACCAATTTCAGTCAGGTTTATTAATATGGTACAGGCAAAAGGTTCTATATGTTACCAGTCTCCTAAGAGCAGTCCTATGCAGCGATGTTATATTCACCTTACACAGAAGGTGTACTCCCCCATTTACACATTTCAGCTGGTATTATTTATATGATTTTACAAGTTACCCCTCTCCAACCCTAACTTGTTTTGTTGTTCCTTCCTTATCTTTGTTCTGGATACTAACATTCCAGGTACTGATCCAGCAAGGTACTTCGCTATCTAAGATATTGAATGGATGCATCTTGATTTTTGACAACTTTTTTATCCACTTATGCCAAATGCTTACTTCTGCAAATGTGAGGAGTTATGGGATACTTAGCATAAGTGAACAGGATTATGGTGTAGGCTGGTTTACACGCACACACTGACAAAATGGCCGATGTTGGTATGGTGGGTCCTGTGCTTTTCTTGGTGGGGGGCTAGGACGCCACCCCTTGCCTCTGTTCTTGGGGCCTGCTAGTGGCCTGGGAAGGTGGTAGCGGGAAGCAGGGGTGGAGTCTGGGTTTGCTCCTTGTTCTGAGCCCCAGCCCCTCTTTCCCCCTTGGGTAGGGTTACCCTCGGTCCTTGACGCTGGGGGAGGGAGTCTCCCTGCTCTGCTGGGGTAGGGTCTCTCATTCTCTGGTTTTTCAATTCTCAGCAACACGCCTCCAAACTCCAGTTCTTGCTCCACCCTGTCTGCCTGAAGCAGGTTTTTTTTTTTATTAGGTTCCTTACAGGGCCTTAATTGGCTACAAGTGCTCCAATTAACCTGTAGTAACCTTTCCTAGTCTACAGGGAACCACGCCTTAATTAGCCTAGGCTTTTCGCCCACCCACTTCCCAGCACCCAATAAGACCACTCTCCCACTGCTCCCTGGCCATGTTGTATCACAATATATATAGGCATGCATTAACTACACCATAATTGGCCTACACCATATCTATCTAATATATAGTAGTTAGATAGAAGTGATGTGGATAATGCATATTATTAACATGATATATATTTATATGCTTCTAGCATCTATATTAGTGAACAGAGGACAGGACAAGGAAAGCTTTGCCATTCAGGGAATAGATCTTGAGCCAAGCAGACGTGACAAAAAATGTATATGATGGTTGGCTCACACAGAAGTTGGGGGCTTTTTTGATTAGGGAAACAAGGACTACTATGGGGGTAATGCTTTGTGGTTATCTTGTGGATAGGAGACACCAGTGATGGATTGGGGAGGCGGAGGGGGGCAAAGACAGATTTAGAGGATCAATGTGAATTGATTTGGAATTGGAGCAGAAGATCCCATCACTAGAATCAGACTATCTCTGGAGTAACGGATGCTTGCACTGCCTGTGAATGAATAGAGAACTTCAAGGATGTCAATCAGCACCGTCCACCAGCACTAAGGAGTCTCTTTAGCATTCATTTGTAGAAACGTTGCAAAGTGATACTTGGCTGACTGAGTCATAGTCAGCTATGTTTCAGTTTGCTGAGAACATTATCATCTTTCTCATACCTCTCAAGCTGCTGAGGCCTAAAAGTGGGACACAACGTGTGGCAAAGACCCAATATGAGGGAAACAAATAAATTATTTGGTCAGGAAACTTGAAATACCATGGGATTCATTTATTCAGTGTAAATAACTCCTTCTGTAACCTCTGGTTCATATTTTCATTTCGTTTTCTTTCTTTTGAGGTAAATAATATTCAGTGATAAAAGTGAGGGGAAACCAAATTTATGTAGAACAGAGGTAACTTTGATATTAAATGAGTGACATCCCTTGAAACGAGGGACACGGTATGGGTCACACTAGCAGTCCAAGTAAAGCAGTCAAAAAATGCTATTAAATAAGCTTTGCATTTATTGTTTGGTATGTTGATACAATCATTTGGAAGAAAGCAGTCTAAAGAAAGAAAGTGAGATCTGAATGGTAAATTCCTTAGCCATTAAAAATAAAGGTTAAATGAAGCAGCTTCTGGAAAGGTTTACTATGTACATTTACGAGAGAAACAGTCGCACTGCACTGCAGATGGTACTTCATGCTGCACCACTGTGCCATTGGCACAGCGCAGAGAGACGTTCACCGGAACTGTCTGAGTAGCTGAACAACAGGTGCACTCATCTTCAAGTCTATTCCTTTCAATAGAGTACTTGGTTTTGCTTCTGCATTTGCCCTGAAAGTGAAACAGATACAAAGTTTGAATCTTGCCAAATAATAGTTTACTCCACAGATTTCTGATAAAGGTCCAAATTCTGCCCTCAGTTTTATCCAAGCAGCCTCAAGGAAGCTAATGGAAGTTTTTGCCAGGACTTTGGAATGGATTCATTTGATTGGTCTTCATTGGTTGTTGGTCTCATGCTTCATGTTTTCAGCCAAATGCCAAAATATTATTTCCCATCTCCCTTGACATGTTTACACACGTAAGGTAATCCTGAGCAACAGCTGATGTCACACAAACAAGCTCGTACACTAAGATATCCTAGAATGTTTACAATATTGTGGTAAGTTTGATAGGCTCAGATAACAATAGGAAACAATAGGAGTGGGGCTTTGGGCACCGTTATTACAACAATCTTTAAAGTTTGTATTTTAAAAAAAGCTTGAAAAGAATTGTATTCAGCCTGATCTAATAGGGGATTGTGGACTTCAAAGTACAAGACAGGCCAAAGGCATCTTAACTTCTGTTTCATTTATTTCTAGGGCATCCATAACGCCTGTTGCCCTGCACACTGATCACCTCCATTGCTCCCCCCACACCATTCTCTCCAAACACGTTAGTTCCTTTTCCACAGTTTTCTAGTTTCTCTCTATCTGTTTTATATTCCAGCAACTCAAACTGTACACAGTATTGCAGCTGGTTTAAATTTGTTTGACTAAATGAAAATTTTTAAGGAAAGTGTCTGATTTTTTCCACAAAAGCTCTTGGTTTATGGGTGGAAAAATCAAGGATTGGTTTTCAGCAATTTTTGGCCAAACAATTTTGGTTTTCTGCTGCTGAATTTTGACTTTTTGCCAAAAAATGAAAATGTTTCTGATTTTTTTAACAAAGTCAAAATTATCCAATGACAATTTTTATAAATTTATTTTTTATTTTCCATTTTCATCACAATTTTCTGGGAAAAAAAATTCTCCAACCACCTCTACACAGTATTCAGTTTTACCAGTGCTGCATAAAAAGGAAAAAATTACTTCTTTGATTCCATCTGTACAATACTGTTTCTACACAACTTAATTGCATTTATGCCAAACATAATGAAAAAACCCACAAACTGAATATTCCTCTTTGATTTCTAACAAGTACTTGTCCATCCATTTGTGCTTATCCTTGTTACATTTTATTTTCCCTAATTTATACAGATCAAGTTGTATCATACCAATATTTTTTACATTATTAGCTATCCATGTTCTGTTTCTCTATTATTTAAAATGTGTAAAAACAAACAAAAATAATCATAATAGTCCATGAAACAGGCCAAACTCTGTAATCTTCACTTTAGTTTTACTCAATCCTTATTGTGCCTGTAGCCTTTCCTGAGGGAAACCTACCATTGATTTGATTGCACATAACAATTTACATTGTAGCTTGTACTATTCTAAACCATTGTATAGGTTGTAATGTAAAGGTGTGTAAGTATCGCTTGCTAGCATTTCTGAGATGAAATGCAACAGTGATTCTGCTCTACCAATCACAAGAGGTTTTAGGAGTGGAGCTCATAAATGCGTTACCCAATTAAAATTGATCTAGTAGGCAGCCTCTGAGCACACCTGCACATGACTTAGTTGGCAGAATGCCTATCTTCCCTGGTTTGTGAATCGTAAACAGAAACAGGTTCCTCCCTGCAGCCCAGACTTAGGCATTAAACTCCAAGAGAGGGGTGGAGCTTAGCATACACCCTTGTCATCGGTGTCTCCCATGGGCTAGCTTAGGCAGCTCCCCACCTAGTTTACAGGCTTTGTGGATCACATTCTAAGGTGCCTGTCTCTCCCCATGTATTGTATAGGAGCCAAGACACCTAACTCAGGCTTTGTGGATCAGTGTTGTTCCTGTGATTTTTCTAGGCACCTAAAAGTTAGGTTTTGTGACACTGAGCATCACAATGCTTAAGTCCCTTTTTCTGGGCCCACGTGTTTACCCAAAATGAAATATGGGCTAGATTTCTGAATTAAAATCTTCACACTAGGAAATCTGCCCTGGATCTTTCATAGCCACACGACCCAAATAGCCACTGACTTAGTGGATAGAGATGATAATGTAGCAGTTTTCTTATTTTGGAGTTAAGCAAGTATTGGACAGCATTTCTGAACTGTTGAAATGTCCTCTTCCCTTAAGAGTTTTATGGTTTGAGAACAGCAGCTGGAGGTCTTGAAGCCCATGAGGCACATGGTCCCAAGTCACTGCACCCAACTCCACCCCTTTCCAGCTGGTCACTGAAAGGAGAAAGATGCTCCATTTGGCAACTACAGCAGTCAAAGAAATTATCCCTATGAGAGAGTGCTAAAAGAAATTACCCTCCCTAATCCCAGTGGGGTTTAAAGTAAAAATTCAGGCATAATAAAAACAGAATGGGAAGTTATTCTGTTGCAGCCAGCCTGGGAACCAAGCTTCTCATTTGTTTCCCAGTGCCATCTATCAAAGATAGAAGGGGACATCTGGAAGGAATGTTCTGCTCCTGTTTCAGATTGTATCTGCTGTATTACATGAGCGGAGTGATGGGGAGGAGAATCCCGTGGCATTATACTTTTGTTCAAATTATGGAAATTGATGGGATATGTGGAACATAAGAGCACAGTGTGTAGGCTCAAATACTGAAGTCACGTCAAATCCTACAGAGCTGTTTTTAAACCTGGGTGCTTACATGTTAGGCACCTAAATACTTATTTAGGCATTGATGTGTTGACTTAGGAGTCTAGAAGGGGATTTATGTACCTAATCTTAGAGTCACAGATTTGAAAATTGGGCCCCATAAAATTAAGGGTGAAATTCATTCAAGTGCAGAAGATCCCAGCAAGGCAACTTAATATCCACATGTCTCTCCAGGAACTAGAAGCAACATGAATGGAGCTTCTGTGTATTGTAAAGTGGGTTTTCTTATCAGCCCCAAAGAGGGGGAAAAATCAGGTTAGACTAAATGGAATCAAATGTACACAGCTGAAACTCCTGCAGAGACAGAAGTCAATGTTCCATTCTGTTGAGTGGAATGGAAGCTAGTGAGAAGCCAATGACTTGCCCTTGGGTGGAATAGGGAAGCAAATTAATTCTCTTCAACAAACCTTGTTGAGATCCCTGCGCAAAGGCCATTTACCTTGGCTTTGAGCAGCGAGGGGTGAATACATGGAAGAGTCATACCTTTACCTAGCAAGAGGAGGGAAATAGCACTGCGATTTCCTACTATGCAAAAATGGAGCAAACCACTCCTTTTGAAAGTGTGTCGTGTTTTGCCACAGTTCTGTACTGACAAAATGAAAATAGATTTTTCTTACCTCACACTGGAAAATAGACACTCCATCTTCAGCCTCACAGCCATTGATATTCATATACGTCAGCCTGGAATTTACTTGTCTGCATTCTGCTTCTATACCTACCAAGTCAAGAAAGAAGGGGAATTTGCCAGTGGTTGAAGACTTTTTAAAAAAAAACATTCTGGCACCATTCTCTGCTTAGTACACACAAAAATTGCCATTGGCCATATGCCATTATTAGCAAGACCCCTAGTAAAAGACGTAGATATGTTTCCATGTGGTAATTAACACAGGTTACTGTGTATATACAGTACTGCAGCCTTAAAATTCCATTGAATACCACTGAGTTCCTGCATAAACCAATCAAAAACAACAGTAAAAAAACACCTTGCTGAATGACCAGCGATATATTAAAGCCCCAAGATGGTACCTCACCTGGCTCTTGTTCCATTGAATAATATTTATTATAAATCTATGTCTTGTTATTTTTTTCCCAAATAGGATTTTTGATGGACTATTGTTAACAAATAAAAGATGTGCTCTTGCACCACTGCACCGTTTTCAGTATAGACCTGCCCATAATAAGTTACAACCAGAAAAATACACCCCTTTCCCATTAATTAACAACTATTGAAGTCATTAGTTGTTGATCCTGATTGGCTCCCAAGTGCAAGAGTCAGGGAATATACTGCAGAACGGGATCACATTCTTTCACTGAAATAAACACTGCGATGTTTAGCACCACTGGTATAAGAAGGTGCAATTCCAGGGGGTGTCAAGAAATGAACATCAGAAATGACTTTGGATTGAAACGTCCCCTTGTCAGCACCAACTTTCAAAATGGACTGACAGGGTTATTTCCTATGGAAATTTACTCTGGAGATATATGTTGAATTTTGTGGCATGAAAATAATGGGGTTAAATTCTCCATTCCCATTGGTGTACTCTGGGGGTAAAAGCCTGACTTCAGTCACTGGAAGTTTTGCCATTGACTTTAATAGGGACAGGATTCCATCCTGAGCACCTGCCGTTTGGTGCTCTTGACACTAGAGGATAAATGCTGACTGTCCCTCCTCTCCGCCTCATGAAGAATCCACATAAAAGGCAATACAGGACTAGACCTGCAGAGCGTCTTTGTGGGTGGGATGCTATTAGGCTTGGGGAGGAGCCAGAGTGCTGTTGATTGGTCCCATGAAGCAGGGCTACTGCAGCCCATAGGCTGTGGTTGTTACTGGATAGCAGCTCCCTTTTCCCTCCCACCAGCCCTGTACAGATCCAGATTTTAAACATATATAGTTTTATACATAAGATAATTTGGCCCAACCACTTTATTCATTTTCCCATGCTAGCTAATGATTTGCGAAGGAGCTAATTCTAAGTGGCCTTTCTACACACAGGAAGCAGTGGTTCTTCATTTACAGTGTTAATACAGCACCATCGCCGTGTGTCAAGATGAACTCTTACTTTAACTCTAGCTAGCAAGTGAATCTATTCAGCGCTCAAGTCGATTCTTTATCAATTAGAATCTATTTTTACTTTCTGTATTGTCCCTCTCCACAACCATTCATTTGGACAGAACACTGCAATCAGCTGGCCAGCTGCAAATTGACCAAAGAAATATAACTTCCCTTTGATGTAGGTGTCCTCCCAGCAGCTAAAGAAGCAGCTTCCCATCTCTTTTCCAAGATAACATTCCCAGCCTTATTGCTTTTCTGCCTTTCTAGCGCTTCACAAGTGATCTGAAAAAAGCTCCACACGCGTGAAAAGTGTTGCTGGCTGCAAGGCTGGAAACGCCAGCTCACTTTCAATGCTTTAATCACTTTGTTTGATAAAATGTGTCCAAGCAGAGTGCAGACACGGACAGTCACAATAGTCGACACACATCCCATTTCAAAATAACTGTCATCAGACTGTCGCCATATCTTCAATGTTTCTTTGCTCCCAACTGAGAGATGTATTGTCCAATCACATCAATTTGGTTTATTTATTTTGGATTTCATAAGGCCACACCCCCTCCAGAGAGGTCAGGTCACATGTACATAATTTAATGAAATGGACAGTGTCAAGATCAGAAAGGGAAAAAAGGATGAATAGCAGAGACACAACTATGCTTCTTTCAGGGATGGAAAGAAAAGGACCATCCTCTCCCTACACAAACCACCGTATCCCTGAGCACCACCACTTCCTATCATCTCACTCCTGCAGGCAAAAGCCTAAGAAAAATGATAAACCCAGCACTGTTTCCTGAGGCCCAGAATAACAGGGTCTATTGGATCAGTTGGGGAGCAACTACAAGAGTGGAAGGGCACCCAGCCTTGAAAATATACAGCTACCAACTCCCTCGTGTTGAAGACAAGGAACCATTCACTCAAGCACTCGAGCTGACCTCAATTGCCTTGGCATACCACAGAGAGGGAGGATGGCTTCAAAGACAGCCAGTGCCCCAGCCAATATCAGACCAGAGTCAACACCTTGATTTGCACCTTTAACAGAACAGAATCTATTTTTTTTTACAGTTTTTTTTTCATATTGAATAGGCTGAATGACCTGGAAAGGTTATGCAACCTGTATGTCAATCTTTACAGCCACGAGAAATTGATTATTCTATTATCTGGAGTATAGGTAACAGGCTACATATTACTTTATTATATATTGTGGGCTTTGATGAATCGTTAGGCCATGACAGACATTTAATTAAAGGGATGGGATAAAGAAGGAAAATTGTGCACTAGAGGAAGATTACCATTTGACTCAAAGCCAGTAGCCTGAGTAGTGTGAAGGAGATCTGATCACCAGAGATAGAGCTCCTTTTGAAATTAGGTGTGTGAGAGAGGGAGTGAGTGAATGTGTGTAAATGACATGTAAGGTAAATATATTGTGAAGACTGAAGGGTTAGTATTTATATAGTGCATTTACTATAAATGCTAAGGATTGCTTTTCTTCTCTCTGATCTTGACTGTAAATGTACAGGCTCAGATGTTCCAAGCCAACTAGAACATTTAACCACACAATTAATTTCCATTACAGCAATGTGACTAATGCCTTTAGGTGGTTTTTAAAATCTCAAGCTGCTTGTTTGTGATTTTTCTATTATCCTGCATACAGACTGCTCTTAAATATATCATTTTAGTTCCATTGAAATTTTGGGACTTACTGTATAATGACTGACAACTGGGATGATACTTATTAAGTTGCAGTCATTAAGTGTCTTTGGAGAGAGTGAGAAAAGTGACCTCCTGCACCCTAAACAGAAAGTTCAGGCCACTTCCTTTTTTTATTTTTTTTCCCGACTTTAACCCGCCCCAGCAATGAGATCTCATGTCCGAGTCACCATCCTTCCTTCCACTTACCACTAGAAGGGAATCCCTTCCAATCATATCAGTCTGTATAAAGTGGCCTCAAGTAAGTTAAGGGCTGTTATAAAGAGGATTATGATCAATGGTTCTCCATGTCTGCTGAAGGTTGGACAATAAGTAATGGGCTTAATCTGCAGCAAGGGAGATTTAGGTTAGATATTAGAAAAAACTTTCTAACTATAAGGAGACTTAAGCTCTGGAATAGGCTTCCAAGGGAAGTTGTGGAACAGGTTGGACAAACACCTGTCAGGGATGGTCTAGGTTTACTTGGTTCTGTCTCTAAACAGGGGGCTGGACTTGATGACTTCTCAAGCCCTATATTTCTATGATACTATTATTCTAATACCAATGGTTAATTGGCTGGAGGGTTCATGTCCGAGTGACAAAAGCATTCTTTTCCCTGAGGGGGTCGGCAGTCCTTTCCATGACTGCTTTATCCAGGCCAGCACCTGGTGGTGACACTAGACAAGACAGGCTGTCCTTAGTGAGTCTGGGAGCTACAGAGTCAGGGAGAACCACAGGGTCAGTCTGTTTAAAGTGGCTTCAATCAACAAGCCCCTTTATATTAAATTATAACCAATTCCCATCTCTTCTCTATCATGAGGGACTCTGTACACGCCAGCCTGCAGAAACAGGCATGCTGTCTCTGAAACACTTTCAAACTTTGTCCATCTTGGGAGCAAATGACCAGGATGAAGGCTTAAACCCAGGTCTCTCACATGTGAGTGAAGAATACTAGCACTAGACCCCTAGGGATGGTTAACCTCATAATATAACAGGCTGCTCACAATTCACTTTGATTACTGGGTTTGGTTTACTGTGCTTCACATAGTAAGAAAGAATGTAATTTCAAAGATAATAGGTTTCATTCAGCCTTAAGATATGCTGGCTCCTGCCCATGGGAGAATATGCCAGGAAGAAGACTGCAGTGGAGAAAGACACCTACAAGCTTTGCTCCAGAGCTAGTCAGTGCCAACGTAACAGTGGATGGCACAGGCTGGAAGATGGCATGGCCAAGGCTGATTCAGCACTTCCCCTCTACAGGTGATGCTTCTTAGGAACCAGAGTCAGAATTTAAAATCATTCTCACCTGGTAGCACCTAATGGCAAAGACAGCCTGGGGGCAAATGCCACCTGCCCTCCCTGGATGTGAACCCTCCCTTGGGTAAAGTAGCCCCTGCTGGCACAGAAAGGTGTAATTTTCAACCCCACACCAACAGAGGTGAATTCATTTTTTGACATCTGTAAAACATATGTAGCATGGTTTGGAACTGGGATTTTTCTCTGTATTTTCCTTACAGTATGCAGTATATTTCCCCACTTAGTTAATTAAAGGCTGTAAGAGATATAGAGAACAGATATGCCTTGAATGATTAATAACCATTAATTCCTCCTGGCCCTCAAAAATTAGAAAAGCTATCCACCTCAGTTTATTCCAAAATAGTTTCCACCTAGGAAGTTAAGACAATAAGAACATGGTTCATATCATGTGAGACACTTTGTCTAAGGACACACAGATAAGCTACAGTTGGGAGTTCCACTCCCCAAGAATAGAAACTAAAATGGCACTGTTAATCGCCTAAGCAAGAATCTCTCATAATTTGCATATGGACAAAATTTCTTCCTTCCTCTCAAACTAGCTAAAAAGAACTCCAAAAAGTTGCCAGGCAAGGTTAACATCCTAATTTCCTATGAAAAGTGTCCCACTTCACTTTGCGAGTGGGTCAAGAGATGAGTGGGGAAGATGCAATTTAAGCAAACTAGAAATAAACCTGCTGTGAGATCGAAGGTTACCCCAAAAAATCCAAACCATATTTTCACCCCCAACTATAAACTATATGTTTGCCTTGTAAATCAAATATCATATATAATCTGTTTTGTCCCATCAGTTTGTCTTTCACCCCAAACTTGAAACTGCGCATTTTCTTGCTTTGTGAGTCAGATCTACATCTCTTTATATGTGGATAACATCTCTCATTCAATTTCAAATTCTATATAACATGCAATGTTTATGTACAATCAAAGAATGTATGAAATAGGTCCATCAAGTTTGGAAGATTATAAGGCATTATGCTTGTTTCCATTGGAAATAACTGTGGCCCTTTAGAAGTAATAGGAATTGTATGGCACAAGGAAGAAGGAATGCTGAAAGATTTAAACCAATATGTACCTTTGGATCATTAAAAGAAATTGCTTAAAAAGGAGAAATTTCCAATTAATAATATGGGCTAATATTGAAATATAAGCTTTGAAATGGATCAAACATAAAAAGCCTCCGATAAGAAAAGGACTGGAGAAATTTTTTATACCCCATCACCATCTACAAGATACCGATGGAAGGAGCAGAGAAACTGAGAGCTGAAATCTGAGCACTCAGTTGGCACGCGTCCAATAGAAATAAGAGGGAGCTTCCCTCCAATGAGTCCTAAAGTCAGGGCATATAAAACTGAGGTCACCAATCATGTGAGACCCTGAGTTGACTGAACCGACAATGCTGCAGAATCCCCAGTGTGATGAATGCCAGGATCGGTCTCATGGAAAGGACTCTCCTCACATCCCAGGGTTAAGAGGATAAGATGAAGTGATGAGATTTCATTTCAAAGATTGTATTTCCCTTTCTGTTCTTTAACATAAAAAAACTTCAGGTTATCTTGATTACGTCTACACTCTCTAGCGAGACACCAAGTAACCCTGTTTTAGATTTTAACTAATACATGCTCGCCATTGTAAACCCAAGCAAATTGGCCTAAGAGAGGTTTAAAACAACAATTTTAAGCAATTGTTTTTCATATTCTAAATTTGTCCCTTTTGGTCCAATCCATTTAAACAGCAGGGACCACGTGCTTTAAATGTGCCTTGAAGACAAGTATATCCTTGGAAGTGTGATAAATGTATTAGGGACTAAAGAATTGAGCCCATCTTTTTCTCTGCCTCTGGCACATAATAATCTAGTCTCCTGTGGGCTGTAATCCTTTGGTCTCATTTTAGTTGTGGGGTTTAGTGTGTGGATGCAGGGTGGTGTCGGTGGCCTTTGATATACAGGTTCAGACTAGATAATCAGGTGGTCCCTTCTGGCCTTAAACTCTATGACTCTATGGTCATCAGTAAATGTAATGAGAAATCTTGGTGATTCGCATTGTTCCTTGGTATAACTGTGGAGTCTCAACTCTAGTCTGTGATAATTGTTTGAAGACTTGGCTGTATCTACACTTGAGTGGTGAATTGTTGATTGTTTACTAAAGTGGTTCTGGGTGAATTAATAAAGTTTTCAACTGTCCTGAAAAGAACCCAGTGTTACAATTAGTAAGCTAGCTCCCTGGATTCAATAAAAAGGTCTTATCCTATTGGATTCCATTCTATACTGGCTATAACACTTATCTAGTTTGTTAGATTTCAGGTCTAAGATCTAATTGGCATCTTGGTACATTCATAAAAATTGACACACACACACACACACACACACACACACACACCCCTTTCCCACTTACAAGTCTCCCTCGATCTTTTAAATATAATGTGGAAATGTGTAAGGGTTAATAGACAATTTTCAATATTAATTCCTTGCTTGAAGCCTGGTAGATAAAAGCCCTCTTAACTAAATTACCTGTGTGAGCCATTCAGCCATAGTCTATTATCTCAATAGCTTCCTGACTTTTATTTCTTAAACCCGGAACTCACTGATATGTAGACAGGCCATGGAAGCAAATGCTCGGAGTTAACTTCTCCAAAGTGGTATATTGTTACAGCAATTACTGTGGTTGTGCAGTGATGGTCTGCTGTGCTTGCCATCTTTTATTTATTAGCACATGCCCAGAACAAATAAAAGAGAGAACAGAGGGCACATGAGGTGCTGACATTTTGACCTTAGAAAGGAGTCTTTTTTTGTTAAGAGCTAAAATAACTTCATAATTATTCACCAATTTATTTGCAAAGTTGCAAATTTAAAGCCTTTATGTTCATAGAAATATTCAAAGGTTAGTTTGGAGATAATCGCACAATTCTGCAACCCTTATTCATGCAAACAAACCCTGGAATAGCCCAGCTGAAATGAATGGCATTATTTATGTAAGGATCACATGACTAAGGGTTTGCAGGATTGGCCAAAACTGTTTATTCTGAGACCCAGTCAAACTATTCATTATGAATACACACTTGTTATGAATTTATCTCACTTTCTGCTTATTAAATCATTCATGAACAGATCGTGATTTCCATATTTATTATTCAGTTTTCAGTTTTCACTGGATTGTTTTACTAAATAATTTTAAGCCTATTGAGTGCTCACAAAACATTTGCTTCATATAGTCAATATCGGGTTGACTGATTGGTCACCCAGTTTGTGTGGAGCTGTTCCTGATCTCTGGCTAAATTACTGAAATTGTTTCAACAGGAAAATACTGAATGATGAATAATAAACATTCATAATAAATTTTGGAATGACTGATTATTCACGCTAAAATGTGTGAAATTTTGGGGATTTGCCAATGTTTTCTAGGCATACCCTGCTGTAGTCTAAACAATCATGAATAATATGACCACACAACTCACAGTGAGACAAACTTGGTGATTTTAGTCACACAAATATGTGAATCAGCGTTGACATTTGTTTGAATTTTTTGAATTAGCTCTCTTTTACTGTACACATATCATGGATGCAAAACATGGCTTCTTATGTAGTAGACTACATTTTGAGAGGTTGTAAAAGAAAGATGTTTGTAGCATAGTTACTTACATGTTTCACAACAGGTATTGTCAATTTTTGCAATTTTACCCTAAGAGAGAAGACATGTTGCAGTTTAGGCACAAACAGTATTTACACACACATCTAAAAATAGTCAGACTTATATTCAATTTCTCTAAATAAGAAGTTATGAACTATGTTCCTGTGCTATACATATAATAGAAATATGTAGAAATACTAATTTTCCTATCATTTGACTTCATTAAAGTTTAGGAATATTAAACAGCTTTAAAGTTTTTCCACACAACCAACTGATATTGCTCTTAGGGCATCATTATCTTATAACACCTGAATGTTATTCTCTGTACAAACCAATTTTTACCTTTTGGAGCCATAACTCTGACGACTTTCTGTGTTACTGAGGGTTAAAAATGGGGCACATGTAATTATATTTTCATTTACGTTTCTTTAAAATGGCTGCCACTGTTACCACTGGATCTCTGACCCTGCTTCAGAGAGTCACCTGAACCTGTGAGTCAGTAACTGAATAGGAACATATTTAGGTCCCAGATACATTTTGAACATGTATTTTAAAAAAATGAGAGCTGGATAGTGGGACTTACCAATTAAAAAGTCAACTATTATCCTTTGGTTTGAAAATGAGACCACCGGAGGGAGATAATACACTCAGTCTACGGCTTTGTGCATATCCCATTATTTTTCAAATAGTTTTCCTCTATACATCTCTACTCCAGTTTATGGAGGTATGTGCAGTAGTGACAGCAAAAAGGAGTACAGTTTTCATGAAAGGCTTTTATCTTTCTGAATAATGAGTCTCAAAATCGCTGTTCACTTTGTGCATGTATGAGAGAAATCCACTATATAGGGTGGGCTTGCCTGTGGCCTCACTACCCACTGCTATGTTATAAGAAGACACAGGCAGGCAGAAACCTGCAGTAGCAGCAAGTGCTATATCCTTTAAAAGACCATAGCTTGCATTCCACGTCCCAACCCAAGGCTGGCCTCAAGTTATCAAGCAATGCAGAAGGGGTTGGGTGCAGAGGGACTCATAGAGCATGTCCAGTAGTGCTCCCACTCCCCATGTTATTGCACTAGGGAGTGCAAGCACCTGGATTTAGGCTGCTCCCTATGCAAAGGGGAAGACTATCTGCATCCTCCTCCCATCTTCATACTCAAGAGTAGCCAGAATCTGCCCCTACATCGTATGCACACATGCACTTTAGTGATGGATGAAACACAAAGTTTGGAAGTTCAGTTCCACTGAGACTCCAAAAGCTCAGATGCTTCTCCACACTTCTTTGCTCTGAAAACTGGACTAAGAACATTATGAGATCAGCATTCCCCCTCTGTCCCCAGCACTTCCTAGCTTTAGATGGGCTGGAAATACTGGAAGATCAGCTTTTCCCATGTTTATTACAGTCCCATCTGCAACCAGGATAAGGAGGAGCCTGTGACATTTATTATATAAAATAAAATAAAAACTTTTCTGAACCTAAAAAAAGTTTGGGTTCAATTTAGCTGCGGTGTAAGGTGGACGCTTAGATTACCCATCCCTAATACACATACGGGATTTATATAAAGCCCCATAAACATGACAGAATATATTCGGAAACATGCAAGCAGGACCCATTTCACTACTTACTCCTTCAGCCAAACATCTCCTGGAATCGAATGGAGGGCAGCCAGTGATTCGTTTTTCCCAGATAAATTCTCTTTTCTCATTTACTTTACAAGAATGACTGTCACAGCCATCTTGAACTGTCTCATTCGGCTGTAAAGATTTAAGAGCTGTTAGCTTAGCACAAAAACAACCTGGAAGGCCACAGTTTTCAGGAAACTATAAAGTTTGACTGTTGCTATTATTTCATTGTCATTCAGCTAACATGCCTCAGCAGAGAGGATTACAAAACATGGAAAACTTTGCTAAATATATGTGTGTGTCAGTAAGACCATCTAGTTTTAATTATTTATTTATATGATGCCCTCAATGTGCATAGTACTCTGCAGACATGTGAGAAAGCACGTACCCTGCAGCCTTATTAAGTGCCAAAAACGGATGTCCTTGCCTGAGTCCTCACTCTGGCAAAATTCCCATGGTTTCCAAGGGGAGTTTTGCTGAATAAGGACTGAGTAAAATGTGAGCAACAAACTTGGGGATTTGGCCCTAAGTTTGTAGCTTTGTGTTCTGTCTTTTGAGGAAAACATATATATGAATATTTAACCTTAGTTACCATGGGGAGATTCTTAAAAGGTCAAAAATTAGACCTAAACGAACTAATGAAAAAAGGTACATAGATGCTACTTGCTAAGACACGCTGCCAGCTTTTTAACAAGCAAAGAGCCTCTGATGTTTAAGGGAGTGCCCCAGGTCCATTTCAAATAGCTGTTGGTCATTTAATGAAATGAATGATGAACAAGTATTAAGCTATAACCAACAGGGCAACTGAATTCAAACATCAATCCAGGGACAGTTTTGCTGGATTCATATGTTGTACTGACCTTTATTTGTTCCTGTCTTGTTCATATTTGTTTGAATTTAATCCAAAACATGGGATCTTTGGCCTCACACATCTCTAATTTCTTTGAAAATATTGGGGTTTGCAGCTGCTGTCTAATTGTCTAACCGAAGAGGGGCAAAAGAATAGGTGCACCAGTTGTCTCAATTAAAAGCATGGATGACATTTACGCTTAGTCAACAAAAATGAGTATGCTTAAAACAAACCTTCAGATATAGGATTCTTCCATCTCTCAACTTGATACCACATGAAGTTGGCACACATCTCCCACAGCAGGAACCACTGATTTCTTCCATCCTGTAGCTCTACAATACAAGTAAATTCGCTGTGGCATTTTTCTTGTTCTCTGGACCCCTCCACCCTCGCTCACAAACTGAATGTAAGTTTTGGATATGCAATTAACAAAATTACATTCATCAAAACATCTCTAAAAATCTTGGATGGGCATGGTCTAGTTAAATGATTTTTATAAAACTTGACATTATCTCTTGTGCTGTTATTGTGTGGTATACTATATAGATGCTGCAGGTATGTTACATTGTATAATATGTGCAGGCCTGATTGATCCTGTGTCCACTGACATCAATGGCAAAATTATGGTGCTGGATCAGGGCCATGAAGCACAAGTGGCTAAAAAGCTGCCATGTGCCATATGAACCTTACATGCAGCATCAGGCAAGACTTCTCCCTAAAGCCAACACAACTTGCAAGGATGCATGAGAAACCTAGACTAGGAAAAAAAGGGCCAGGAGATTGGTGGACAGTATAAAAGAAGGGAAGGTGGGAGGAGGAGAGATTAGGCCAGAGTGGAAGACTGAAGTATGGAACAGAGAAAGGTAGGATGAGAATGTAAAGGTAAAGGAAAGAGATGGAGGAGTGGACTAGAGGAGGAGGAAATGGTGAGAATAGCAGAGAGGGGGATGGGGAGAGAGAATCAAAGGATGGAGAAACTGGCAGATAAAGTAGGGGGACAAAGAGAAGTGGTGAATGGGGAAGGAAGTGAAGGATGAGGGAAAGGAGCAGAAGAGATAGAGAGATCAATCAGCAGTGGATGGTAGGGAAGGCAGGTTACGGGCAAGAAAGAGGTAGAGAAAACCAGAAAGGAACTGAGTTAACGTATGAAGACAATAAAAGTCCCCACTACAGCTTCTCCAGCTCCTAACTTAACCAACAGCTGCTTATGATGAGCTGAACATTTTTAAGACAAACAAACACTTTCTGGATGAGCCAATACATGTATGTTATCCATATGTTTGTTTTAACAATTTTTTTTTAAAGGAAACATTTATGTTTTTACAGTAACCATTAAACCATCAGAAAAAACACTACTTTATTATTTAGGTGAACTGCTAACCTTTCAATTTCTCTGCTAGCAAAAATGTGAGTTTAAAATGCACCTAGAATGGTTCACAAAATAACATAAAATGATTAATAGACTCCACTGTAGTTTGCAGCACTTCCCAAAGTGCTGCATTTACTTACATCATTTCAATGGCTGATCATAGGTTGATACCTTGTTGAGAGCACATATGCTAAAGTGTGATTTGTTCCTTATGACAGTGGCTTTTAATGGGAATTAGAATGAAACACAGGGTCCCAATTCAGGAAAGCACCTAAGCATGTGCTTTAGACCTACTGACTTCAGTGGGACTAAAAGAGTTCATCTGGGTATAGATGAAAATTTCCTTTTGTTGAGAAATAAGGCCCACACCATTACAATAGGTATGGGAATGGGGGTATGCCCAACCCCCTGAAATTGGCTCCTATTGAGACAACGTTCACAGCCAGGAAAATTCCATTTTACTTTCCTAATTTACAGATTATATTAACTATGAGGAAAAAGCACAACAATTTCTTCTATTGAAGAGCATGGGAAATTCCCTCTAATGAAACAAACCCAAGTCAATGTCAATTTCCACCTCTGTTCTAGATGCTCCATTTGTCTCCAAGGTGGACTGGATCTCCAAGAAATGAAAATTTTAAGTAAGCATAGATATATTTTCCTATTCTTCATTGTGTTAAGATCTATAGATCCATTACAATGGGATTTTTACAGCAGTGTGCCTCCAGGGTAGAAAGCAGGATCATTCTTTAAATGTGGACAGCCACAATTAGGTAAATTATGTATCCTCTATCTTTCCCTGGGCACTGAAGGATGGAGAAGAATTCTACCTAAAAATGACATTGGCTAAAGATTGGATGATCAATATGTAGATCAGGGTGAATTTATGTATTGATGGCCATATGGCCAACAACCAGATGTCAATACAGATGATGTGAGTTCTCTGCCATAAGTCTTTCAGTGCTCCTACAGATTGGACGTTGTTGTTTGACAGAAGAACATTTCCTGAATTAAATTTGGGAATGAATGTGATGACAGTTGTGAGAGCTATTTGTCCAAATTAAAAGTAAAATACTTGGTCTGATGCAAGCAAGCTCCCAACTATATAAATTCATCTGACTGCAGATAATAGATATTAGGAAATCTACTTTTAAAATATAGTAAGTATAATGACCCCTGCAACAGGGGTTCAATTTGAGTAGTGCTGTAAGGACCAGAATGAGGTTCTCAGGTTGTGCGCTATAACCTTGAGGGGCTAGAATTAGGGTAGTTGCCCTAAGGATGCATTTAATGTTGGGGATTGTACAAAACTTCCTTTTCTTGAACATACTGAGAACATCAGAGGACGGAGATTTTACCTTCTGCTTGGACACTCTCATAAAGCCACATTAGAGGCCTCCTGGAGGAATTCAAGGCCATATGTCACTTGCTTAATGCAGTAGTTAAACTATGGACGTTGTTTGTCCAATAGAATAAGTTATATTTGTTAACTCGTTTTTAGTGTCCATGAGTGATAATCACTTCATCCAAGTATCCACCTTGAACCTGTCTGGGGCTGAATGGAGGAATGGCTTTTGCAATAATGGACCTCTTGTGTAAGGTAGAGATGTCGGAAGGTCCAATGTGAGGTTAGTAAGTCCCAAGAACCACAGTCTCTTCCAACAGAAAGACATACGCAATATTATTGCTGTTCTCTCCTTCCTAGCTTTTGATCAGCCCTGGATTTGTGATAAAGTCTGACTTTATCACAAATCCAAGATACTCCAGAAACCAGCTCAGTCTATGTGTTGGTTTCACTCTCTCTGTACAGAGCCCTGATCAGAAAAATTGTCCAGAAAGAGATAAAAGCAAATTTCCTATGCCAATATTATTGCTACTATGATCCTGGAAAGAGTCCCTGGAAGCACATGTACAATCAAATGGTAATGACTGGAATTGGGGGGGGGGGAAAGGTGGCAGTTTATCTGCAAAATGGAAGAATTGTCTGTGTGATAGTTAAATGGGAATGTGAAGATAGAGCTCCTTTAAGAACTTATTTTGATGTGTCACCCTGCTCTATTAGTTATGGACTCTCTGGGGCTAGAAATGGGATAAAGAACAGCCCTTGGTGTGGAATGGATTATATCACTCTGATCTGAAGTAAAATGAAACTATAGCTCATGTCCTGGCATTTCCATGGGTTGCCTAAGATTGGGAATGGGACAAGGCTGTTCCTGTGATTCTTGCATAACTCTATAGAGTATCCTCTCTGAACAATGTCAAGTCACCATATTTTGACACAAGTTGTAGGCAGCGATTTGCTCCCAAACTGAAAGAAGGTGGCACCAATCAGGGGTTTAACTCCAGGTAGGGAAGGCTGGGAGTCATTCAGAATGCTCTGGGGCAAATGAAGGCCACTATGACTCTTGCCTCAGCACCCTGCGCTTGTTCTAGCTATCACTTGCCAAGTGCTATTCTCCTTTGTTGTACTTCAGGGAGTGTTTCACTTTGCCGTGGGACTGGTATTCTGTTCTAAAATGTCTAGCAGAAACCAAAATTGTAAATCTACTTTTCTAATGACTCTGTGAATAGTCTCAGCTTTCCATAAAGTTTCCTAGTAAGTGAGCTGGGAACTGATTTGCCTGCACATCTGATCTCAAGGGAAAAAGCCATGGAGCTATATCTAAGTGGAACAGATTTGTGTCCCACTATCTTTTTCAGGGAGAAGCCATGAAAAAGGCAGCAAGCATTTTACATGGAGAATGACCATAATTGCAATACCCCTGTCAGAATTGCTTCTGACTGCATGAGGAAGCACTTGGCGTACCTCAGATGACGTACCTACTTTTTTGTTTGTTCTTGGTTAGTCTGAGATTTTTTCATACCGAGGGGAGGCTGAGACAGTACCTGCCCAGACTTGGCTGCCTGTGAATGGCTTGTAAAGCGAGGAGGTCACTCAGTCAGGTGAATCTGATTGAAATCTCCCCCAATTAGAAAGGTCAAGTCCCTGATCACTGAGGAAGATAGCCATGTTTCTCTTCCGTCGTGACACCAGGTTGAATCTGGTCTGGTGACTACTGATGAATCTTCTGGACTTATAAAATGAAGGCTAGAAAGAAAGAAATGATAGGCCAAGAGGCCTGTTACTGCCCACTTGTTCTACGCCCTCTGGCATTGGCATTGTCCATGCTGTGTCTTGCCCCTCCATCTGTGCCCAAAGAGAGGAGGCAGTCGAGCTCTGCAGTCAAGAGGGCAGAGGGCTATAAGGACTCATGTGCAATTTTCCATCTGGTGTACTGTCCTTCTGGCATCACTCCCCTCATGGAGATGAGGGAGGAGGCTCTACTTGCCCCTAAAGCTGACTATTCCAATGCTGCTGCCTTCTTTCCTACCTAGGGAAGGGGGGAAGAGGCAGTCCCGGCTGGATTAAGTTGAAATGGAGAACTGCACTCTGCCCACAGAACCAGCCAAGCTTCCCAGTGAAATACTCAATACGGGGAGTGAAAACAGGAGATATGGACTTTTCTTTTTGCCTGTGACTTTTTCAGCCTAGCTGTCTCCCTGTACGGGCACCAGCTGCCACAAAAGCCTCAGAGGGGAAGCGGAGCTGAGGGGACAATTTCCCCAAAAGGCAAATACAGCCCAGGGAAGCAGCTGGGAATTAGACAGACGCATTAGTACGCTGAATTGTTAGGCAGGAATTTGAAATAAAGTTTGGAATTTTCCTCAGAAAAGCTTTGCAGCAGAGAGGTTTGAGCCGCCAGCTGCTGTGGGGGCAGCTAAAACTGTAGGGAACTTCAGGGCATGGGCATTGCCTGCTGCTAGTGACTGAAAGTCTAGTTCAGCCCACAAACTGTAAGCAGGCTGAAGTACCCATTGTAACAGACTTGTGGACCTTAGCACAATGAAAAATTAAATGCTTTCCTGAACTGGGGCTTTAGAACATAATTGGGATGTGACCTCTGACACAGATGCAGAAAAATACAGGACCGTACTGTACCCTTCCTTGGCAAGACTTTTGGGAATAGGGACAGTGGACCCAGTAAGCTCTGAGATTGGAGTGTATGCAATGGGTGAGGTGACCTTACGACTGCATAGATTTGTAGTCAGGAAAGTCCGGGATCATAGCATTCTCACTCACCTTGGGACAGGGTTCACAGGTGGTTTTTCTACAGCTCAGTTTGTAGTTCATATGTAGTTCATATGTGGCCCCCCTCTGGAGGCCACACTGACAATTCGTACATTGGTCCAACATCAGGTGTTCCCCTACCTGAAACATTAGAATCAGTTTGCAATGTTGAGTGATCATCTATTAAAACTCAAAAGAATAAGCAACTTAGCTTGAAACTGACTCATTAAATCTTGCAATACTGTTCTGGACTGAGGATAGCAACCAAAACCTTTCTGTCCCCAGCTTCAGAGACCCAATGCTTGTATCATCACACAGGCACAACAGGAGGAGGCTGTTCCTAACTAGCTGATTTATCTGCAGCCAACCATCAAGAGTTCACTTTTTTTAAAAGTGCCATCAAGCTCGCTAGGAAGAGGAGTTCAAGTTACAATGAGAGTCGGGTGAAATTTTTCAGATGAATAGTTTATTAGCTGAAAAATGCAGCTTCCATCCACCCAAAATTATTTGTGAAGTTGACACAAATTCACCAAATAGTTTCAGCCACAAAAAAGAGTTTGGGGCTAGATTCTTGGCAACACCCATCTTATAACTTTAGCCCAGTGGTTATGGCACCCGCCTGGGAGGAGAGAGACTTGAATTCAAGTTCCTGCTCAAGAGGAGGGATTAAAACCTGGGCTTCCCACATCCCTGGTGAATGAGCTAACTACTGGGCTAAAGATTATAGTGGGGGTGGAAGTACCAGTTCCACGTCCCTTTCTAATCCCCCTCAGTACAAACCAATGGACATATAACACTGTACCAACTCAAGCTTGTAGGCTTGGCTCAGGACCTTTTTTTCCCCTCTTATTTTAACCTTTTATATTGAATGTTCATGCTCATAAATCTGAGAGGAGAATAGCACTTGGAGGATCCAGACATAAAGTCACACTCATAACTTTTCCTTGTGGGGTAGGAACGGAGAGGAAATGTCATATGAAAAACACTAGTCTTTTTGATTATTCTTTACTCTGGAAGGTGCTCAGATATCGCAGTGATGAGCATAGTACAAGAACCTAAACAGAATATATAGTCCTACAGAAGCTGTCAATCCTGAATTGCAACATCATTCTTGCTCTACTTCCTGTTATGTCCTGAAACCCGCCCCACCCCCTCACCCCCAGTTATTCAACATTGCGTGATGTTTTTGTGTTGGTGACTCGCTTCAAAATACTTAAATTTCCGCCATTTATGACCATAGTCATATTTGACTCAGGCCTCTTCAAGTAAATGGCTAATGTATTATACATAGTGGCTCAGTAGCACTAGGTTTTTGCATCATATGTAGTACGGAGGAAACCACTAGAAAGTTCAGTATACAGGGAATAATGTACTAAACTGTAGATTCCCCATAGGAGCGCATGAAAGTTCTGAAATTCCAACATGCTAGAAATTACATTTTTTCAGTAGAATAGCAAGAAATTAAATTTATGTTGAAATCAGTGTTATTTTGGGGGGAGAAATTTGGGGTTACACTTATTAAAGACAAGCTGGAACCAACCCCCCCTCCCAGATACTAATGCCCCCAAACTTTTGGGAAGTTTCTATCAGGATCCAAAGTTTGCAACATAAGCACCATCTGTAATATGTATATAAATTTCTTCTCAGATCAGCATGTTAATGGGCCTTGACAGTACATTTCTGTCAATGAACAGAGTTTACAGTGTGGGGGAACTGAGTAAAATAAGGAACGGATTATTTTTTTCCATTTGTAGAATACACCTATCAAATATTCTCTAGACAAACTTATAATAAAACATCAGCATCTGCTAACCCACTGTTAGCTAATGCAATCAAAATAACCCCCCATAAAGCTAAAAATGACTCTAGTCTCCCTCAAACATGACACTCAATAAAAGCCTGGGAAAACAGATGAGTGTGACAGCTAATTCCATTTGGTAAATACAGCCACCTGCTTGGAAGTCTGCATTTAAAGCCTGCAGCATTATTTAAAACAGTGGAGTGAGTGCAATAGACCTACTGGAGTATAATATTGGTAACCAGATACAAAACAGAAATGTAAAGGGATTAAGGAAAAACAAAGGGCCACAATAATCTAACAGATCTGTAGTGAAAGATTCCAAACTTGGACCTATTCACTGAATGAGTTAATGGAGGAAGTTTTCCCTTGATACAAAATGAAACATGAAGCCTATTTTTAAACAGTGGTTGTATTCCCAGCATAAAGTTTTGAAATCCAGGAAGTATAAATGTCCTGGGGATACCCCATCTTGATTCCTGACCAGGACTTTAGAACAATCACAGAACAGTGACCCCAGAATATCTGTCTCAACTTTTATATTCTGCATGCTGGGACAGGACATGGGGAGTTCCGAGTGTGTTGTGGGAATACTCATACAGGGTAACGCTGTCGGCTCTGCAAAAGGCCAGCACAAAGCCTCTTCAACACTCCAGTGTCACCTAAGCCCTCCGCACACATTGCCGAATTAAGACCACATTTGATTAAATAAATGGCTCATTCTCATATAGAACAGTAATACATTTTGGATCAAAAATTGCAAGACAAATCTGTATGTTGCTGGGTAAAGAACTAAGATGAGCCACTCATGCAAGGGACTTCAGGGTCAGGCTAGCAACAGCACGCAGGTGTCAATGCATTGTTTAGTTGCAGCACAGAAGGCCAGTAGACATCCTAGAATGCATGAGAATGTAATTATTATATTACATGACCTAAGGTCATGATTAGGGTCTGCATGGAGTATTGTAGCCAGGTTTGGACACTATAAATCCCAATAGGGATGAATATATTCTAGAAAGGGTAAATAGGAATCAAAGAAAGGAAGCATATAACAACTTAAAAACTCATCCCACAACGTGCTGACAGAAATTCTGTGTTCCTCTGTGGATTTCATTCCGTGGGGAAGGAAATCTCTTATGCAGAAGGAAGGAATCTTATGATGACAGGGCTGTAGTTCTGATCAGATGACAAGCTTATGCATACATTATGTGAAAAACAAGAGACTGAAAAGGGTTCTTATTGCAGTGTGTAGTAGGTACCACAGAGATTTGGGGATAGTTATAATTTTAAATAAGCAGCAAGAGGGAAACTTATGGACACTCCTGGAATTTAGAGATTAAAGTTTAGGTTAAATGCATGGAGGGGCTTGTTCGGAATATTTGGAATTCTCTGTTACTAGATTTACTGCCAGAATATGGATTTAAGAAAACAATGGACAACTGCTAGGACTCACCAAAGATAGCTTTGGGTATACATGAGCTCAGATGCTTAACTCTGATCATTCCCACTGTCATGCATAGGGTTAAACCAGCCACTAGATGTGAGGAGGTCGAGAAGAAATTTTCTCTCAAGGCATTTTGTTAGGGATCTTTAGGGTGAGATGGGGTCAAGTAGTGAGAAGCACTAAAAGCAAAGGAGAGTTTCCCCTCCCCTCAGATGCTGTGCTGAGTGCTTTCCATCCTATTTGAATCTGCTTTAACCTCTGGGTGGGGCAAGGGAAGTTTCTCCTTTCTCTGGAATGAGCAAGGATCATCTATCGGCATATTTCTCACAATTTGTTTCCTGTGATTGTGGTGGTCTGAAAGTACTTACAAGGCCCCCATCATTACAGTATCCAAAGAGGTGCCCAAGGTCAGACAGGGCATCTGTGGCACAGCGAGGAATTCAACCCGGATCCCTTGAGCTCCAGTCCAGTGTCTAACCAGGAGACCACACTTTCCAAGTCTCAGTTTGAGGAAAGTGAGTCTGTAAATGGTATCTACATAGTAGTTCATTTATACTCTACAAATTCTCATTAAAATATTTAAATATCTTAGAGGCATTTGACATAAGAATATTATCTTACCCCGAGAACGGTGCCATTCAGAACACAACCATTCACAGGTTCTGGAAAAGAAAACATATACTTATTAGTGTTACCTATGGCACTGCAATAGGTTTTATATATTATAGCCCTCATCCTGCATGCCTGGTAAAATTTCCACTGATGTCAATGGGAGCTGTCCTTGCATGAAGATGGCAAGATTTGGCCCTACCCATACATCATACCTGCCAGAGGCCCTAATTTTGGCAGTGCTGTCCTGAATTCCCCTTCTGAATCTTCCTTAGCGGCCTATTTTTTCAAATATGTAGCATGAAGTCCCCTACAGTTCAGGCTTCCCACTTATAGAAGATCCCCTGATAGTTGCTCTATCAGTGGTAGACTCTTCTCCTTTTTCTCCCCACTCTCACTGTTCTCCCCCATTCCTTTCCTCACAGCTTCTCACACGAGTATTTCCGTAAGCCAAGTTAAGAGGCAGACGACAAGGAGCCAAGGAGAGTGACTTGGAAAGAGGAAGTAATAACATGGTCACCGTAACTAATCACATTTGAGTTTCTTTTTCAACTAAAGCCAGGGCTGTTTGCTACTGTCTGGAAGGTGCTGCAGTTCGTATTCCCAAAATTACAGGACAACGTCAAATTAAATTCGTTTACATAACATGCATTTTTGTAAGCTCCTAATGAGATGTACAAAATCAGTGAGTGAGCCACAGAACCCGAATCCTCTGATGATGCCATTAGCAGTTGTGAAACCTTACCGCACCGGCAGGAAGGACAGCAATTTGTTATTCGGTCACAGCGCAACTCATATCCTAAATGGCAGGTGGGTGCATCCATCTGAGAACATGACACGTTCCTTTTCTCAACAAAAACTTCATCATTCACTCGGACACACTTGTTGATAATGCAAGGGCTGAAAGGGGATCGCCACTCTGTGCCGACCTAAGCATGGGAGATTGCAAAAGGGTTAGGAGGAGTTGGTAGTGTTTGTGCAGTGGATAGAGGAGGGGGCACCATAACAAACCCAAAATGACAATCGATTTAAGCTGGTGGACACAGACCCAAGAAGTTATTCCCTTTGCTTTAACTCCCAGAATTTTCAGCAAGGACCATGGTAGCCACCTGTCACCACACAGTTCTCCCTAAATCTTGGTGTGGACTGTGAGGTCATGGAATAGACTGCTGAATAGATTACAGAATTTAGGGGTGACAGGGACAGATTTAGGAGGAATTTAACTGCATGAAAAATGTGTGTAGGGGGACCATTTACTAGATTTAACTTTAAAAATTGCTCGTTGTGGCTGCTCTGGATTCGGAGGAACTATGGTAGATCTCTCTGTTTCTGAAGGGCCTTGTGGGAATTCAGATTTACAGAGACAGAGGCAGGCTTTTGGTAACATGTTTTGGACAGAAAAGATTTGTGAATGGAGAAAGGGGTCAGGTTCTTGTTGCTGGATACAGATGGTAGTACTTGGGGACCCTCAAGATCATACTGCTAGGGAGGGATGCCACAGCAGGCCAGAAAAAAAGGGGTTATAGTTGCATGATGGGAGGAGGTGCTGAGAGAGGCCAGGCCAAAGTCTTGGCTCTGTGCAATCCCACATTTGCCTGGTGAAATCATGAACCATGGGATTCTGGGGCTCATTGAAATCTAACATTGTTAATGTTTATACTATGCTTTCAAGAGCTAAATCACTATACAAATGCTGAATATTATTATAGCTATAATAAGTAAAAGTGCCAGATAGAAGTGGGACTTCCCACTGTGACTGTAATCCACAGTGGCACAAACACCAACAGTGAAGGAAGGTTGACTATAATTAAGAATCATTTCAAAACCTTGGGAAAGAAACTGAAGATTAAATTGACTTCCCTTCTGTGCCGAGAACAAGCAAAGAATGCAAACACCAAGTGATAGGTGCCACAGCAATGTGTGAGAGCCTTGGATTCTTAGAGCCGTTGAATGTGTTCTCTGAATAGAGACATTTTGGGAACATCTTTCTGTCTTTTGACTTCTTGGGAAAGATCTGAAGGGTTCGGACCTGTAAGAATGCCAGGAGATTAACTCCCAGTGACATTGGCCCTGATTCAGCAAGGTACTCAAGCATGTGTCTAGCTTTAGGAATGGGAGCAGTTCTTAATATGAGAGGAGGAAGAGCCAAGCCTCTTGCAAGATTTTTTTTCTTAATGTTGTTTCCCCGCTCACTATGACACGCATGATGTAGTACATTTTTTAAAAAAAATCAAATTAAAATAAATACATAATAAATAATTCCTCAGAATTACAGATTAAAGACCACAAGCTATTTTAGTTTGTGGCTTTTTGTTGGAGAAAAATCACCTTGGTTCTAGCAGATAGAAGATAAAGGTAGAACTCATTGCAAAAATATGTCCAAATTAAAAATATTCATTAGAAAAAAAGGCTGATAAATATTCAAAGTCACCTACACAACTCTGGCAGCATAAAGGGTCTTTATAGTGGGTGCACATGTAACTTACTGCCAGAGTGTTGTCAAGGGGCTTTAGTGTAAATGACAATCGGGCTCTCATTTTCTAATACTAACAAGACCATCAACCTTCAATGTATGAGACACTGGGAAAGTCAGTCCACTTTTTTCTGTCACCCGATGAGTTATTTCAGTGTTAATGGCTGGAAAGAGACACAGTTACACACATCAGTGTATATGGATTCTATGGTTTATCTAGGACAGTAAAAAATAGTAGATGCAGTTGAAAGCTTGATTTGTAAAGCAGAGAATGATGTTGGTACATAGGACTGTCGTCAGTTAAAATGTGAGGGGTAAAGTCTTTGAGCTGTTGCATTATTTATTCATTAATTATTATTATCATCAAGGAAAGAAGCTGATTTTCTTTGCAAAAAATACAATGAAGAGTTAGCACTGAATAGTTGTGGACAGCAATATGTATAACAGTGGAAGTGGGTTAGCAAATCTGTTTTAAACTGGGGAGGAGAAGCAGGAAGAATGGAAGGCCTAGCATTCTAATATATTTAACTTACTGTTTTCCTTCCCTACTGTTTTGATCCCCAACCGCTGCACAGGATTAGGCAATTTAATGCTACGCGGGCAGGCAGAGGCTTGCCAAAGCTCGCAGGGTTAAGAGCAGAACAAAATGATTAGGCTGAAGAAATACGTAAATGAAGGGGAAAAGAAAACCAGTATCCACCTTGCTTTGCAACCTGGTGGGATATCTGCTGCCCATGTAAATGGGGTCTGGGTTTTTTTCCTTTATTATTTATTTCATTTTTTCCAGCTATTCATTTACTCTCTGGAACAGTCACAAAGAAATTCTACTCAATGTGGTGCTGAAAATAAAATGTTATTCTGAGCAGACAACCAGTGCAGCACGGGCAACCACAGTACTGGCTTCTTCTTACTGTCCCCTGGAAACGTGCTTCAAGGCTGAGACACCCTTTTTAATGGGGAGAGAGAGAATTCACTCGCCATCTAGAGCTGTCACCAGAGCTGCAGTGTTTGCCAAAAAGCAGTTTTGTTTTGACATTTTCAACATGAAATGTTCTGATTTTTCAGTTCAAAATGGGCTTTGGTTTTGAAATTTCATGCATTTTTTAAATAAATGTTAAAAAATGCTTGACGTTTAATTGAAATGTTGTGTTCAACCCAAAATGGTTTTTTTTCAACTTTTTGAGTCACTGAAAAATTTTTAAAAACTCATTTGTTTTCAGTTCAACCCAAAACAGATTTATTTTTCAGTTTTTCAAAATTGCCAGCAAACCAAAAAATCTGTTATTTTCACACCTCTATCTCCATCCTCATTCAGTCCCTGGCATCACTGAGTGTGCCAACGAATATCCAGATGTGATGTCCTGCTTGAAGCACAGTGACACCAGCTACTCAGTTCAAACAGTTCACTGCACAGACTTCATATGGTAATATCTTTAGGTCGCATCTAACCTCAGATAGATTAAACTGACAATCTACAGATGAGTAAGCGTTCACGGTGGTCAGTATCCTGGTACCAATCTCTTGAGCCATCCATAGTAAAGTTCTAATCCTATATACACAAAGGTCAGAGAGATGGTCCTTTCGAGTTTTCTAATATTGAACAGTGGATGTGGGTGTTTACAGCCAGAACTGACTGAGCGCTATAAAAAAAAATCACTTCTTTTCAGTATTACTCATTGACTTTTGAAGGCTAAGAAAAACTCGGTTTACATCATTCCACACCCCACATTTATGGACACCAGACATTAGCAGTTTAACACTCTGATGCCATTAAATTCCACCTGATCTGCAAGAAGGGAGTGTGTGTTTTTACAGCAGATCATTGTTATTCAACAGTGCTCATCCTGCAGGAATGTTGAGACTATCAGGCTGCATGTTTTATAACAAAGTGCCATGACTTCAGGAACATAGAATCATGTGTGCTCTCTCAGTGTTGTGTCAAATTTCAGAAGCAACAAGGACTATTTACATTTTTAAAGGCAAAAAAACCACAACCCAAATATTTTAAATTAGAATGTCTGGGAGAGAATCATAAGCGACCCAATTCAGCAAAGCACTAGAACATATGTTTAAAGTTAAGCATGGATAGAACTGTCCAAATAATCAACTTTTTGGTTTGCTGGACAAACCAAAATTTTTTTTTAAATAGTTTTGGATTGACACTCCCACCAAAATCAGTTTTCTTGTCTAAACAAATCAATCATTTTGACCCAAAATGAAATGATTCATTTTAATTTGGGCAATTTTTAAACTGATTTTTTTTATTTGAAAGCAAAGGAAATTCGGAAATGTCATTCACAAAAGTACCAGAGGTGATGGAGGTGTGTCGTCCGTCCCCCCGTGGTCAGGGGACTTATCTGGGAGGGAGAAGAATTGGGTTCCAGTCCCTGTTCCAATGAATATTTAATTATTCATACAAAACGGAACAGCTTCAACAGGACAATTAAGAGAGACCCACATCAGAATATCCCAGAGCCAAGTGGTCAGGACCCTCACCTGTAATGGGAGAAACCCAAGTTCAAATCCCTATCCATATCATGCAGAGCAGAGATTTGAAGTGGTGGCCTCCTGCGTCCCAGCTGAGTGCTCTAGCCACAGGTCTATAAAGAGGATACCACCTCCTCCTCTTTTGTGAATGGCATCTAAGTCTGCTGGTGACTCGAGGCCCACCATTTTTTCATTTTGCCAACGTGTGGCAAATCTGCAAATAGTTTTGCTCAACCAAAAACTGCATTTTTTCAGTGAATAAATGATTTGTTCAAAAAATGTTGCCCAGCTCTGAGCATGGGTTTAAGTCTCCAGTTTTAATTAGATTTATACACATGCTTAAATTTTTTCCTGAATCAGGGCCTACTGGTTCACTTCCAAGCAACAAGCTATTTTTAAAGCAAGGGGGAAATGCAAATATTTTGCTGACTAAATTATTTGGATAGGTTATCCTATATTCAGGAAGGTTTAATGTCTTCCTGGTCCTTATTTTTTTTTAGTGTCACTAATATGTGGGAGGTCTTTCTAAAAGATATGAGCTAGCTCAAACAGAAGCTATGGGCTTGATGCAGGAATTAATATGTCATGTTCTATGGTCTGTGTGCTGTAGGAGATTGGACTATCTAGGCATGGTGCTCCTTTCTTGTCATACAATCTATGACTGCAGAGTCTGAACCAAGTGCATTACGACTGGCTCAGGTTAACAGAGCCTAAAACATTAAGATTAAGAGACTTCAGTAGTTTGAGCACAATACTGGAAGATACAAATTCCTTCCTCTTCTACTGACTTGCTGTTTGACTGTGGGCAAGTCACCCAGGCTACGTCTACACTACGAGGTAGAGATGTAATTCTCAGCTTGCGTACACATACTTGCTCTAGCTCGATGAGAGCCAGCCCAAGAATGAATAGTAGTCACAGGGAGCAGCAGCAGGGGCACGGCATAGCCATGCTGAGTACAAATCCAACTTCACCCTGTGGGTACGCACTCAGCACGGAGTCCCGCTGCTGCTGCCTGTGCTACTGCAGCTGCGCTGCTATTTAGACGTGTGCCGGATCTCCTACAGCGTGTGTGAGTATGTGTCGAGAAGTTGGGAACCACACCTCTCGCTCATAGTGCACAAGGAGCCTTAGTTGCTCTATGCCTCAGTTGGGCATAATATCATCTCACGCACAGAAGCATTGTAAGGTTTACTTTAAATTTGTAACATGCATTTGAAGATGTAAACTGGTATTACTACTCCTAATAAACTAAACATGGACATGACAACCAGATGATCTGTTTACACAAAAAGCAACCTGCACATTTTCCCTTCTCTAGAAGAGAAAAATGTTTTAGTCCCATCTCCTAAACGAGAACGACTGAGCACATTGTTAGCAGCATGGAACTCTTGACCTTACCTCATGCAAACGGACATCTACATCCCCTCGAGACCATGAGTTCTGCTCTTCACACAAAGTCTTCTGACATTTTCCACAACACTCCCCTTCCTGGTTGACATATGTATATCCCTGTCAGAGGAGAACAAGGTAGTGGTTGTAGTTATATTAGAAAGCCACACAAGACAATGAGAAGTTTGATGATGATACATTTGCAAGAGACACTTAACATTAAGGTTGTGTCATAGTACAATTTCTTATTGTATAGTGCAGTTTAAACAAAACTAGAAGGACACAGGAATTGCTGTAACAGAACAAATGGTCCACGGTAAGTGGCCAATATTATGTGTTTCAGAAGAATGTGAAAAACCCTCATAATTGTGCAATATTATTCACTACAGGTAGAGACTTCTAACTGATTATCGGCTGCTGATTTGTTTACTGAAGCCACTGATTTTTCCCCACTAATTAGAGTAATTGCAGACATTATTCTTATTCATGTGTCTAGTCCATTTGGAATCTTACTAAGGGCCTGGTCCTGAGAGGATATGAGCATCTCCAGTGAAGTGCTGAGCAGCCTTTCTCTGAATTCAATGAGAGTCAATGGTGCCTAGCACTTTGCAGGATTACCATAATTAATGATTATTATTACTATTATTGTGTTGCAGGAACACTGGCAGGCTCCAAATAAGGATCAGAGCTCCATTGCACTAGATTCTGTACAAATCATGCAGTAAGAAAGATATAACTCCAGCCCCAATGTGCTTACAATCTAGATTTCTGACAAGATTTAACAGATAGATGAAACAAACAAGCAAAGATGGATGGGGAGGCTGAGGAAACATTAAAATGAGCATGTTTTGGTCCCTAAACTATTTCTTTCAATAATATCTTGCAGCAGTGAGTTCCAACATTTAATTGTATACAAGCATTTTATTTTATCCAGGTAAAATTTGTCGCACTTTGCACTACCCTCTAGTTCTGAGGAAGAGCAAATTAATGCATTCCACTGGCCTATTCCTCTTATCTTCTATAACAACCATTTCATTTATTCCTTGTCTGTGCTGTAAAAGACCTGTCACAGTTCACTATACCAGGACTTCGCAACCCATGGCACTCATGCACAGGTTAGTTATGAAGAGGTGCCCACTGGCTTGGACCCTACAGATTGGAAAAAATAGCAGCAAAATCTTTCAGACACTATGGCCCAATGAGAGCAAGCAAAAGGGAAGAAAAACAACTGCACATCCCTCTTCTCCCTCCCCTTATGCCACACCCAGTCTCAGAGCAGCTCCTCTTCTGCCTCAACTCTTTTGCTTTCTCAGCAATCAGCTCTGAGGGAAGCTCTCAAGTGGCTGCAAATAACTGTAGGATAGGGTAGGTCCTGAGAAGAAACCCAACATGAATCCCAGGTTAAATAAATCTTTAAGAATCACAGTATCATCTCCATTTAAAAAAACCCAACAAATCATCTATATAACTACAGGAGGGTTTTTTAAATGGTTTTGCTGATTTACAGCTATTATGGAATAAGCAAATGTAAGAAAGAACTATTCTAGCAGCATCATGATTGTTAATCAGAACAGTCAACAAAAAGGAGGGAATTCAAAATTGAGGGTGAATCAGAAAAATGTTTAATATGTTCAGCCATCTGACTGGGTTTACACTCAAACAAAGGTGGAGAATTATTCAGAGTTGCTACAGCCAATCTCCTCAGTTTGCAGATAATTGCGTACGGAGCAGAAAAATGTATTGGCTGATCATTTCACTGGTGATTTGGCCACTACTTTCCTTCATAAAATAACCAACCACCACACAGTATAAAACACTGGAGCATCTGGCTAACTGAAAGAAAGCAATATCTTTATTTCTCCATCTCTGGGTTTGAAAAGCATGGAGCCCCATAGGGCATAGAGCAGTTCTACTTTCAATACTGAGCTGGCAACATGATGACCTGAATTTGAGACGAGGACTAAAATATTCAATAAGCTCAGTGCCACCTTTCACTCTGGTTTTACATCTGTAAAGTGGATGGCTGCTTTTTAGGAAGGCTCTGCATGGATGTTGGAAGCCTTGACCCCATTACCCCTGTCCCAGCCACAGTTAGCCCTGCCAACGTCAATATCAGCCTCTTTTCATGGACAGCCCAATCGCTGTACCTGAAAGCATGAGCCACCTTGCATAATGAATGGGGCAGAACAGACTGCAAAGTTGACAGATCTTCCTGACAAACAGATGTATTTAACAGAGTTGTTTGGGAAATATTTTGTTCTCATTAAACATTTCAATTAAAACATATTTTGTTAATTTTTCTTTGCAGATTTTCAGGTTTCCATTGAAAATTTTCAGTTTGAAACCAAAACAATTTCTTTTTCATAAGAATTTCTGTTTTGACACACACACAAAAAAAATCAGGTCAAAAGCTTTCAACGGGAAATTTTCCTCTAGCTCTAGTATTTAATTTAGAAATTCAAAACAGCCTCATGAAGAATTTACCTGAACACATTTTAGCCTGTAGATTCTACAAACAGTTTGCAAACAGACTATACATTTGATCTTTCGATATTAAACCTCCATGACTGGTCACTTAAGCATGGCTTCTGTTCCCTTTTTGAATAACTTTTATGTCTTTTAATATAAATATTTTAGGCCTAGGCCCTGAAGTGTGACTCATGTGGCTAGATCTCTGAAGGTAATGGGGCTTTTTGTGGGCACAGAGGTTTGCCCACATACATCACAGCGGAAGACTGAGTCTTTAGTAGTGTAATTTTGATTGTGTGTGAAGTCGTGCTGCTGAATCTGTTATTTTGCATTGCTTCTGTTTGTTAAATATATGTCAGAAGCACCTACGGCATGTGACAGATGCTTTTTATCTTTGTTATAAATTCAAATAGACAAATAAAAATAAGATAATCAGCTGCTTTTGCCCAGAATTTATTCAGTTTCTTGAGTAAGTGGATCCTGGCTATGGGATCTGAAATTGCAAAGAAAAGGGGGTGAAAATAGCAGATTCGAAATGTGCTTCAGAATTCTCAAAAATTTTCACAAATACATTTTCCCGCAACTGGTGGCCCAGCTAGAGGTGCAAATGACATCATGGCTCTTTGCGGGACTGGAAACTGAGTCCGACCCTCTATGGATCTGGCTCATTTATGATACCCAGGTCTCCTCTATAGTATAAAGAATTGTTCTCCAGAAGACAAATTAGTCAATTTATTTACAACATGAAAGTAAGAGCTCACAAGTACAAAGACAATTCCTTTTATTTGTTTTAAAACACAAATGGGTGCAAGTTAATTTTTAGTAAAGGAAAATATATGACGACGATCAGGAAAAATAAGCCCTTTTTAGCCAGCTCAATAACCTCCTAAAAGAAGTGATGGAAGCCTGTTGGGGATCTGAAACTCAACTGGATAAAGAACTAGAACATATATTGCTGGGAACAACCCTCCATTGGGCAGTGTATGGACATGATCTAGGGTACATCTTTGGGTACGTCTACACTACGAGATTAATTCGAATTTAGGTAATTCGAATTTGGGAAACAGATTGTATAAATTCGATTGTGCGCGGCCACACTAAGCACATTAATTCGGTTTTTAACCACATTAATTCGGTGGTGTGCGGCCACACTACCCCATTAATTTTAACCACATTAATTCGGTGGTGTGCGGCCACACTACCCCTAATTCGAATTTACAAAATCGATTTTGGTGCTACTCCGCTCGTCGGGGTGGAGTACAGAAATCGATTTTAAGCGCCCTTTAATTCGAAGTAACTGGCTCCGTTGTGTGGACGGGTTAAGGATTAATTCGGATTAACGCAGCTAAATCCGAATTAAAGTAGTAGTGTAGACCAGGCCTAACACTGCCCCCTCCCTAGCTTCAGAGCCTGAGCTCCAGCCCAATCTCAAATGTCTACACAGGTATTTTTAGTGCCTTAATGTGAGCCCAAGTCTGTAGACCTGGGCTCTGACTCCCTGCAGTGGGTTTGAAAATGCAGTGTAGACATACCTCTAGTAGATCCTTAGATACTATGGTGATGAGTGCCACAAATTTCTGCATAGATTGGGTTAGACAGACTAGACAATCTTTACCATCGCTATCCTCCATAGTTCTGGGACCACTTGTGATGCAGAAATGCAACATTGTTTGAAACTTTTTGTTCAAGTTTTTACTTACTGCACTGACTCAACATTCTGCTAGTTCCCCTGTTTTCAAGGACGGATCTTCTGCTTTCATTTCATTTTTTCCCCTTCCGCCCTGGTCTTTTATACATTTGGAGTTCACATTTCAAATAGAGATTCAAAACTCAGAATGAGCCTGTAGTAAGTTTCCAAGCATCTGTCACATTGACATGAAGATCACTGTCTATGGGTCTGAAAAATCCTATTGCCCTGGGAGGTAAGGAATAACGAACACAAATTATCCTTCACACTTGAGCAGGTGCACATGGCTGACTTGGGAGTAATAATAAGCAGCAGCTGTGGGGAAACTTACAAGGGTTTAGTTACACCGACTCTCTCCCCCTGCACAAGCTCTGAGACAGAGTTGGGCTCAACAAGGGAAGGTGACAGCATATGGATAAAATCACAGGGTAGAGAATATTCACACACTGTTGAATTGGAGTTAGGTTTGCAATAAACCTAGGAGGAACTTGAGTTAATTCCATGCCCTTCAAAAGTGACAGAGGATTTTACACTCTGATTCATTGACTATTTAAGGTTATTAAAGGGATCTACATATTCTGTGACTTGGCATATTTCCACATATTCTCTTTAATTCTAACTTTCCGCGAGGTCTGGGAGCTGCTGCACACTTCATCCTCAGGAGGATGCCGAGTCTTTGCAAACAGAACAGAGACTCTTTCAGCTCCCCCTCTAAGAATAGGGTGGAAAGGAGAGTGGAGATCATCCCTCAAAATAGGGACTTTTCTTAAAAATCCATGAATATTTGGCACTTAAATGCCATGGGGATGGATATATTACAGACTGACACAGATTAAAGGGATATAATCAGAGATTGAGAGAGACTGAGCTAGATCCAACAGGGTTTATTTGGATGATGCTGAACTATTCCGGCCAGCGCCTCAGTTGGTGTAAATCAGCACAGCTCTATTGATTGAGCTACACT